TTCCTGCTCAGTCAGAATACCTGCTGTACCACTGTCTGCATCGCTGCTCATCCATCCCTGAGAACCTTGCTAACCTGCTTTAAGATGCTTTCAGGGGTTATTCTCACTCTGAGAGGAGCAACAGAGACACATTTATGATTACTTCACCCTCCATTTAAGTGTTTCCCAGTGTATCATCAAAACCCACATTTCAGATTCACTCCTTCGCCCTGGGAATACATGGATGTGTAGTATGTACAAGTGTATTATAATAGCTTCACCATCACTTACTTCCAGACTCTCTCAGCAGGACCAGTTGAAAGTGGAGGGGGTAGTGTACTCGTGACATGCTAAGAGAAGAACAGGGAAAGATTTCTCTTTTTGTTTAGAAACACTTCAAGTAAATACACCCAAGTATCCAAAATCATTAACTGTACTTCATTTAAAAATGAAAAGAAAGCACAGTCAGGTGCACTCCAATTTCAAAGCTGGCTGAAAATTTCTTCAGCGATTTGCCCAAGTTAAGTTAACTGCAGGCCCTTCAGTACTGACATAGCAGCATGCTGCTTCTGGACATTCATGGTGAAACCAAAGTAGTCACAATAAGGAGAGCCTCAAAGCATCAGAAGTTTTTGGTTTTTTAGTATTTTCTCTTCAAGGCACCTGAAAATCCTCTATATCCTTGCAGTGATTACTGCAATTCCCCAAACTTTTGTTAACGGCATCTTATAATCACTTCTTTAAAGCCAAGTTGGAAAGCCAGCCGAATAGCCCAGTAACACACCAGGTAGGGTACAAATTCATCAGGCATCAATCCCTAATTTGCACGTACCCCCTAAGTGACCTACTTCTGTATCCTACTACCCCAGTGACACCACTGTTTACACCCAGCACGGTTAACTCAGATCCTTTTGTGCATCAGCTTCCCACACAGACCTCCCCAGACCATTTAGGCAACTTCCATACCAAATACAGCAAACAGATTTCCAATCCCTTTCTGTCTGGCAGTATGCGTGCTATGGACTTGGGAGTGTCTTTCTGCCCAAGAAGCAATGACCCACTGAACAAGCAATACTTTTGCAGGTCTTTAAGAACCACAGAGCAGTGAAAAATGGCTAAGACTGGAAATCCCTCTTTAAACCATTGCCTCCCAGAACAGCACGTACAGCCATTATTCAAGTTACTATCTTTGAGGTAAATTGTAACTCTTCATACTAGGGCATGATAAAACAGAGGCAAGCAGGGCAAGTCTACAGTGCCAATATTCCATTTCTCTTGCAGGTGGGTTCTTTTGAGTAACACATACAAGCCTCGTCTTAAGTTCAGCACAGAGATAATGGTCCTTTTTAAGGCAGAGGTCCTATCAAATGAAAAGTCAACTAAAGGACTGTTTTTAATGAATCACTTCAATGCATACCATCAAGAAATCATGTGTGTAAATGCATGTATTTTCAGGAATCCTGCATTTCACTGAAGTAAAACATGTATAAACGGTGACAGATTTTCTGGATAAGACCATTTATTTATAACAAATAGATGAGTCTTTACGATGAACTGGAGGCTGCAACAGCTGCTCTCTTGGGCTTCGGTGTAGTTCCCTCACGGAATCCATTCCTGTAAGTAGAAATACGGTTACCATTTTTCAAAAGGATGATTCCCGCTCCAGGTTGTTTTCTGACAAGTAATGTTTTGGATCAAGCTTACCAGCTTTTTTCAGCTCATCTCAGTCATGCACTGAAATCACTATGAAGTTCATATGTTCAGACATTTTTGATAAGAAACATCTTAATGACAAGCATTTGGAGTAAGCAGTATGGTTTTCACTCTCTTCTGCTGAAGTAAATTTGCCTTCTTCAAACAGGAAGATTTCAATAACTGAATGAACATGGCAAGACCGCATCAGATACAGCGCACCTGCTGAAGGCACACCTTACTTTATGTTCTAACTAAGCAACTTGGCAAAAGATTTCATGTTTGAAGTCCAAGTCAATTTCTTCCAGAAATCCTTCCTGCCTCCAACCAGAGATTAAGACAGGCATTACAACACAAGAGTCACGCCAAGCTCGCTTTCGGAGATGACATTTCTACTTCAGCAACACCCAGTGGAAAGCAGGCTACAGCTGCACTCTGTAAGGTATCTTCTGGCTGCTGTTCGGAAAGACTGTGCTCACCAAGACAAACAGATGAATGGACCCCCAATTCCACCCAGGTGTGGGACTTAGAGCCTTTTAACAAGTTTTAGAAATCTGTAAGTCAGAACCTGATGTTATAGCTACTTACTGTTAACCAAACTCCATGTAAGAGTGACCACTGAACCTCTCCTATGAGGACAGGCTGAGAGTTGGGGTTGTTCAGCCTGGAGAAGAGAAGGCTCCAGGGAGACCTTATTGCTGCCTTCCAGTACTTAAAGAGGGCCCACAGGAAAGATACAGAGGGACTCTTTATCAGGGAGTGCAGTGATATGACAAGGAGTAACAGTTTTATACTGGAAGTGGGTAGATACAGATTAGATATTAGGAAGAAATTCTTCACCCTGAAGGTGGTGAGACACTGGGACAGGTTTCCCAGAGAAGCTGTGGATGCCCCATCCCTGGAAGTGTTCAAGACCAGGCTGGATGGGGCTTTGAGCAACCTGGTCTAGTGGGAGGTGTCCCTGCCCATAGCAGGGGGTTAGAACTAGATGACTTTTGAGGTCCCTTCCAACCCAAACGAGTCTGTGACTCTATGAAATAAATAAATATATTAACTTAGAATGACGAAATCTTATAATTAAGTAATATCTATGCAGGATTTCATGCCACGCTGGTTTGTAATAAAATGTTATACCTGAATCGACGGTAGACCTTTTTCAGGTGCCTCATGCGACCAGTTCCAGTGGTGTTGCGTCTCTTAGCCTTTGCACTCCAGTTATCTAAAACATACAAGTTATTGTTACTCATCCATACCAACTAATTAAGTTGCACATTACATTTGTATAGCACAATTATCCAATCTGAGAGAAACAAAAAAACCTCTACTATAAATTAAGTAAATTTCTATGTAGTAATAGTGCACAGTAGCTAAAGTGTAGTTAAATCAGCACTAATTTGTCATCAAACCAGGACAATTTGAAAAAAACTCCAAACACTGCAAAGCAACACATACTCCTCCTTGGTTGGAAAAAAGTCACGCTACTGAAGAGAAAAAGCACAGGTTTTTAATCTCAAGTCAGTTAAAAGTTTGTTACTTACACTTTCTCTTACGCTTAGCAGGGTAACCACATTTCCCACAGGTAGACTTCTGCAGATGGTACGCCTTGGACCCACATCGCCGACACAAAGTGTGCGTCTTATTTCGACGCTTACCAAATGACGATGTACCCTTCGTCTGAAAAGCATTTCAAGGCACACCATGTTGGAAATACCACTAGCAGTTGCAAGTTACATAATTAATAAGATTCTGTAAAAAACATGCACAAATCTACTAAGTCCTTTGCACACCACAGAGGCACACTGAACTCTGAAACAGCAATTAAGTTTTGCCTACAGGTAGCCTCCATTTCCAGAAATCACTTCTTTACACCTCTCGTCGCCGTTCCTTATGGAATGCACACACAGCACACACACAGACGCCCTGCTCTGATATAAAACGAAGCCACCGAGCAGATATCCCCAGCTCCCTTCTCCTCTCCCCCAAATTCATCACGGATAACACTAAAACGCTCTTTCCTGAAGGTTATTTGCTTCGCGCAGACCAGCAGCACGCCCACAACAAGAGCGTTTAGCTACCGAAACCCCTCCTGCTACGTTATCGGCATGGCTGCCTCAGCCACGGGGAGAGCGCCGCCCTGGCCCGGCCCGCAGCAGGCAGGGAGGAGACCCCGGA